GTTTTAAAAAATCTTTGTTGTTATCGTAAGTGGGAAAAGCTCTTGTTTACTTTGTGTTTCTTACAGTGCTGGAGGGTTCGACACTTTTGTTGCACGTGTGATGATTTTCCTCTATGATTTTTGGAACAGAGGTGATCTACCCTCTGTTAAATCAAAAAGCTAATTCCTGCTTAGATTCTTTAGAACTTCCCCGATCCTGTTCCAGGAGCCAGAGCGGGGCGTTCTCCACGCCTTGCCTCAGAAGCCTCACCTCTCTCCAGGAAGTCCTGTGCGTTTCCAGACGGCCTCCTTGCTCCCTCTAGTGGCCTCCTCAGTAGCTGCAACCTCGCTTCCCTTCCTCTCATCAGAACCAGGTCATCCCAGTGGGACGTCCCAGAAGGGAGCAGCAGAGCAACGGCGCTGCACGGACTTGCAGCCAGACGGTGTGGGGATTGTTTTCCTCTTAGGGTGGGCTGTTTGTGTCCTTGTCGCCTTGGCTGCCAGGGAGGGACTGGAAGCAGGACATAAGCTCTCACCGCGAGCCTGGCAGGGACACAAGGTAGAAAGGATACTCTAGTTAGTTTTCATTTTCCTTTCTAAAACTGAGCCCTGTGGAATCTTTTTATAGAGGGGAAATTTGTAAGTCAGTAAAGTAATTAAGTTTAACTTCCATGGCTGTCAGAGGGTTCTGTTAGTGAACCCTGAAATCACTGAGCTGTAGGTACTCATTCTTGTTATCCTAGTTTAGTTGGGAAATGCTTGTGAAGGTTCTAGAATGAGAACTTCCTAGAACAACTTTGAGGTAAGGACAGGAGGGAAACTTTGGAGAACTAAAGACTTCTAACGTATGCCTCATTGCCATTCACACTGTCTCACTCCATTCAAGTTTGTTTCAGGCAATAAAAATAATATACATAATCATTGCAGAAAAAAACTAATAACATCACCATTTCCTTTACTCAGAGATAATGACTGTGTATGAGCATATAAGTGTGTATGTATATCCATGTCTGTGTACACACACACACACACACACACACACACACACAGATGTTTTTAACCCCATTTTGCAGTATTTTAAATATTTCTCCACTAAATATTTTTGGAAAACAATCTCTTTTTTTTTCTCTTCACTCTCCTCTTCCTGTCAGAAACACATTCTTTAATACGGCTTCGTAATAGTACATAATTTATCTGATAAGAATTAGATATTTGGTTGACACTCATTTCTAAAAAAATTTACTTATTTAATTTATTTTATTTTTGGCTGCGTTGGGTCTTTGTTGCCGCACACGGGCTTCCTCTAGTTGCAGCAAGCGGGGGCTACTCTTCCTTGCAGTGTGCGGGCTTCTCATTGCGTTGGCTTCTCTTGTTCTGGAGCATGGGCTCTAGGCACGCGGGCTTCAGTAGTTGTGGCACATGGGGTCAGTAGTTGTGGCTTGTGGGCTCTAGAGTGCAGGCTCAGTAGCTGTGCTGCACGGGCTTAGTTGCTCCATGGCATGTGGGAATCTTCCCGGACCCATCTTCCTCGAACCTGTGTCCCCTGCACTGGCAGGCAGATTCTTAACCACTGCGCCACCAGGGAAGCCCGACACTCATTTTTTTGTAAGCTGTTATAAATGATGCTGCGATGAAGATCCTTTAAACAATTTGATTATTTCCTTGGGATAAATTCCTGCAGTAGAATTTTTGGGTCACAATAATCCAAACTTTCTAAATTCTGTTGAAATTTGATATTAAATTTGTCTTAAAAAGCTTGTTTCAGTTTCTGCTTTTCCTTGCAGAGTGGAGAGTGTCAGTCTGTCATTGTCATTACTAACACTGTCATTCTTTTTAGCCTTTGCTAATTGGATAGACAAAGCTTGGTATACCATTTTAGTTTGCAGTTATAAAAAAATATGAGAAAAGTTAAGGATTCTTTTATATTCATTGGTCATTCATACTACTTTTGTCATTTCCCCCCCATTCTTTGCCCAGTCTTAAAATATTGGGCTGTTAATTGAGTAATTTGCATATTGGGGTTAAGTTCTGTTTGTCATATAGTACAGGTGCTTTTTCTAGCATGTCGTTTGCCTTTTGGTTTATAGTGTTTCACCTAAAGAAGCTGTGTTTGTGCAGTTTAAAAACGACAAGAAAAAAAAAAGCTACAAGAAAGTACCATAGGAAATAACCCTTATTTACGTACCACCCAGAATGCACAAACATTTATCTGTTGTCATTTTGGCTTATTTTTAATAAAGGAAGACGAATATTACAGATAAAGTGGAATCATGTTGGTTCCCCCTCCCGTCCCATTTCCCCCTTCCCCAGGGCAGGTACTATTATGAATTGAGTGTATGGATCCTTCCAATCCCAGCCTTTATACTATTACCTCATATACAAGTATCAATAGGCAATATATAGGACTAGTTTTTGTGTGTATGTAACTGACATACACACTGTCTCTCATAATAATGCATCGTTGAACAGTTTTCCTCATTTGCATATGAGGATTTTCAGTTCAATTCATAATGATACATACAGACCTAGTTCATTCATTTTGATTGCTGTTTAGTATCGCATCCATTGAATATAACTCTAAATTCTTCCTCAACGTATTTATCAATTTTTCCATATTGGTGAACACTGAAGATGCTCTGGGTTTCTCAGTTTTCATTTCAGCCCTGCAGTGAACATCCATACATGCACCTCCTTCTGCACACTGGGGGATCTTCTCAAGGAGTGTCCCTAGCAGTGTGTTGTGGGTAATGTCAATTTTCAGGTCAACTGGCTCTTGCCAATTCTTCCCAAAGTGGTCAAGCCAATCGACATTCCCACCAGCAGTGTGAAAGGGTCCCTCTCTTGTCTCACAACTTCGCCAAGACAGGGAGTTATCAGACCTGGTGAGTTTTGCCCATCTAGGGATGAGTTATCTTCTCATTGTGGTTTTAATTTGCATGCACGGATTGGTGGTGGGATTGAACATCTTTTTCAATGGTTGTTGCCTAGAGTTTAACACGTTTTGTAATAGGGAAGAACCTTTGTATTCTATTACAAGTTAATCCTTAAAGGCATGTTGCCTTTAAGCTTAAAGTATACATAATGGCCCATCTCTGGGAACCCTGGCTCCCAGGTAACGCGCATTAAGCTAAAATACCTTTGTTTAACTCACAGGCCCACCCGTGAATGGCTGCATCCCCCTCTGGAGGCTGACTGGAACCAGGAAATGTTCGGCTTTACTCCCTCCCCTTTAGTATAAAAGAGCCTGAATTCTAACTCAGGCACGGTGGTTCTTTGGAATAGAAGTTTACCATCTTCTTGGCCTACTGGCTTCCCGAATAAAGTCGCTATTCCTTGTCCCAACGGCTCGTCTCTCCATTTATTGGCCTGTCGTGGGGCAAGCAGTACTAGCTTGGATTCGATAACAGTTTTCTCTTCTCTACACCTTCCTTTGATCTTTTTCCCCATTGGGTCGCTTGTCTTTTTCTTAGGATTATTAATATTCTTTGTATGTTTTAGATACTAATGCCATGTTGTATGTTGTAGCCATCTTCTTATCCCTGACTTGCCTTTCCTTTTATTCCATTTATTGCCCTTCCCTTGGTTAGACTGCTACCAAGACCTCTTAGTCTGAGGCTGAGTTGAAATTACAGTTACGTCCTCAGGGGATGTAGCACATGCTCAGAGAACCCATCAGAGGGTTGGGGAGACATTGAGATAGCAGTAAATCTGGCAGCAACTAACACCCCGCAAAGGGTCTGACGAGGTCAGGAGAAGGTCAGGGCCTTCCTGTTAAGCTTAGTATAGAGGCAGGCAAGTGGATGGTCAGTGCATGGAAATCCTTACCGTGCTAAAGTCAAAGACAGTTGCCTGTATTTTCTTGTAACAGCTTTTGTTTTTCGCACTGAGGTCTTTAGTCCATCTGGAGTTTTTTGCTTTTGTAGTTTCATTTATTTCTTTTTGTGGCTTTTCCCCTACATTGATGCTTTCAGAGTCCTCTCTGAGCTCCGATGAGTCTTCATCAGCAACCTCTCCCTCGTTACCTTGTGCTCTTTGCCGGCTCTGGGGCGTCACAGGCAAGGACACCCATTGTGTAGGGAGGGGACTTCTCTGTGTCTCAAGCACCATCAATATTTTCGACATCGGTGATTTTGGTTTCAGGTGACTTTAGGCCTAAGGAGCTTGATTCCACTAGTGTTTAGAATTCATTCAGTTTTTGAAACTTCCACGGAGTCTGTTGGGTGTGATCTGTGCGTGGCCCTGCAGGTATTCTCAGATCTTGGGTTGCTGCTGAATACAGATCCAGGGTCTCCCAAAAAGATGCTTCCGCTTACCTTGAACAGGTGGCCCATTGTGTTTTTCCATAAGGGATGCAAGGAATTGGTACAGTGTGCTATTCTTGTCAGTGTCCTAGCTCTATGGAAACTAAAGGTACATCTAAGGAGTCAAGGTGCTTTGAATTTTTCCCAGTCCCACCCACCCCATTGAGATCAAGAGAAAATAGGAAAAATCATCATCTTTTCAACAGTGTGTGTTTTCTGTCGTTCAGATGAAAAAAGATGTGAAAGTAAGGAAGATAAGAGCTGACCAATTTATAGGAATTTCCCGATAGGTTGTCACCAGCATCCCCTGGAGAATATGTCAAAGGTGATGATGCCCAATGTCTGTGGGAAACGGCAGCGTCACAGGAGACTGTAGCCTGGTATCCCCACATGTGGATGCCTCTGCCATCTTGTCACCCAGCGTCTTGCTGGCTTCTTTCTCAGCAGAGAGGAGGTGCGAGAAGTGGGTGTGGGATGATTCCCAAGTCAGTCTGCCAGGCAGCAACCACCAGGGGACCCTGTCTTCTGGCCTGAGTCTACCTGTTACCAAGGACCACGGCAGCTTTCAGGAACCAGAAACTTTTATCGATAATTGGCATTTTTTGCATTATTATTTTGTATTATTATTATTTCTGCTTTAAAAGATTTTGCCTTTCTTTTCTCTTTTTTCACTGCATATTAACATTTTCTGTTTACCCTGCCTTTGTGTTTTTTCCTTAGGCCGGAAGCTGAGAGGAAAAGCCTTTTATTTTGTCAATGGCAAAGTGTTTTGTGAGGAAGACTTCCTGGTGAGTTTGTCACCCAAGCTTCCCCTCCTTTCAGTCCTGCCCTGAGTCAGGCAGGGAGCGTGCAGAGAAGCTGGGCTAAGCAGAAGAAGGTGGTTTCTCTCTGTGGTCCCTAGTGCTGTCTGGAAGCTGCACTGCTGGAGAAAGGTGTCCTGACTTTCCTTCTGCAGAAGCATGGGGTGGCCCACGTTCCCAGGCAAATGACACACTGCAGAGCTTTGTGCTTTTCGGGGACTTGGGGGTTGCGCAGTGTGTCCTCTTGTGCTTTGCCTATTTCTGCCTTCTCCACCCAGCTCTTAACTCTCACTCTGGGACCTGGGCCCCCTTTCTTCTCATCCTGCCTGCCTCTCCCACGCACTGAAAGTCTGTCCATGTGCCAGTGACTCCCACGTCTGAACTCCGGCCACGTAGGCGCCTCTGAGGCCAGCTGTTCACAATCTCCCTGCCCATCAGACAGTCCCCAGGGTTGTCCCCAGCCCATCCGCCAGCCCCTCCCACTGTACTTGAGAGTCACCTGAAGCAGAAAAGTCCCCTTGCTTGGGAACTTATCTCTGAGAACCGTGTCCTAGGTTCCTCCTCTACCCCTCCGCTTTCCTATCTCTCCTAGAGTGTGGCCAAGCATTGTGCCTGGTGCCACCGCGTCCTCCCCAGGCCTGTGTGGCTCGTGACATCAGCATGGCTCCGCCGGCCCCTCACTGCTGTGCTGTGTCACTGCCCAGGCCCGGGATCCAGGGTTCAGAGCATGCGCAGGAGCTCTCTGTGGTCTGGGCAGCCTCCCATCTCACTCACTCTGAGGCTTGCGGTTCTCTGCACGCCATGGCCCCATCCTGTGTGCCTTGGCTTGCACTGGGTCCCCTGCTTGGAATGTCTTCACCCTTCGTTTGCCCAGATCACCCGACGGCCTTCACGTTCCCCCGCCTCGCAGCGGATCTCCCCTCCTGTGTGCTGTTGCCCCGGGCTTGCCAGTGGTCAGGGCACTGCGTGTCTGTTTACAAGTCTTTCCCTGACTTGACCGTAACTTCCTAGGGAGGGAGGAACGTGCTGCTTCACCTTTACACCTTCAGACCCTAACACAGTGCCAGGCATGGAGCGCTGACTGGTCAGTGGGACCACCAACGTGAGACCCAGAGCTGGCTCGGGGCCGGCTTCTCTGTGGATGTGTGGGTTGACTCATCATGACTCGTGTTTGCCGGCAACCGCCAAGCAAACCCAAGGAAATTGCTTCCTGCGTGCCCTCAGGAATCACTTCCTCCACACGTTCACTTCAGTCTCCCGCGCTGTGTGTTTGATAGTCAGACGGTGGCACACCAGAGTTGACTGTCTCCCAGTTTCACATCTGATGGGCCAAGTGCCTGTCCTGCTCCTGGAGTCTCATGGGCTCTTGGTGGGCCAGGTGCCCACCCCTGGGCAAAGTCTTGGGTGCTGGACGACTGCGAGGCTCTGATTGGCCAGGTCTGAGCCAGTGCCTTGCCTTGGAACCCATCATGGGGTCAGCCCCACGGGAATCACAGGATGGGGAATGGGGCTGGATCCCAAAAGAAAATAAAGAACTGTTACCCCTAGAATCAGGAGGAAGTGCTGGGCAGCAAAACCCCACACTGTGTGGTGTAGTGTTGTAGAAAATTTCCCTTTTCTTTTCCACCTTCCTTTGCATTACATTTCCCTTATTAAGTTGTGTTTGCAATATTTAAGCTTCTAGTATCTTCCAGTGTGTAGTATCTAGTCTGTTTTCTGAGGTGAGTTCCTCATTTCTTTCAAGACTAGAGCTGTGTGTGTGTGTGTGTGTGTGTGTGTGTGTGTGTGTGTGTGTGTTTTGGTAAGGTAAGGTAAATAATATTTATCCAGTTTCTTTGAAGCTAATTGTAAAAGGCATTGGCTTTTAAACCAGACCCAGACTTGAATTTGAATCCCGTCCTTACCCCTTACAGGCTGTGTGACCATGAGAAGGTCAGTTAACCTTTCGGAGCTTCCCTTTGCTTCCGTTTGAGAAACGGTGTAATATATACCTTGAAGAATTGTGTTTTTGTTGTTGTTGTTTTTGTTTTTGTTTTGAAGAATTGTTTTGAAAATTAGAGTGATGGTCTCAAACTTGAGTGTGCATCAGAATCCCCTGAAGGGCTTGTGAAAACTCAGGATGGCTAGGCCCCACCCACTGAGTTTCCAGTTTAGTAGGTCTGGGGTGGAGCTGAAGAATTTGCGCATCTGACAAGTTTCCAGGTGATGCCAGGGAACTCCGTTTTGAGAACCACCGGATGAGAGACTGACGCCTCTCTCTGCGCAGCCTCTTACGCAGAGCCTGGCGTGTCATGGGTGCCTGGGTGCAGCTGTGGAAGGCGAGTGGTATTAACATTTGTAATGGCTTTTGTGGCAGAGGATATTCCGTGATTCATCACACTGTTGTCCACGGGGTCACGACAGATCCTGTGTAGAGCGACACATCTTTCTGAGAAATTCCTTGTGTTCCTCATGACTGGCGGGGAAGTAGCAAGATTCCTCTGCCCCGCCTGGGTTTAACTTTCTTTTCTCTTTCCACTGCAGTACTCTGGTTTCCAGCAGTCTGCCGACAGGTGTTTTCTTTGTGGACATCTGATCATGGACATGGTGAGTAGGGTCAGCCGAACAAGATAATAGCATGGTGGGAGGGGGAGGCATTCAGAGAAAAAAGAAATTAATAATTGAGGACAGTGTTTCCTACCTTGATTTGTGGCTACATCTGGTTTTTTAAAAGAAGACCCCATGCTTGCTTGCTTGCTGTGGTAGCACCCGCATTTGGCTTTTACTGGAATTAGCGTCCTTCGCCGTCCAGTCCCCATGATGTCATTTCTCCTGGCACTGTCTCCTTTGGGCTGTTCACGTCACATTGGCCTCCCTCTGATTTTCTGTGGTCCTTGTGGCGTCCCAGGTGAGATGCCAAACGGAGCTGCAGAAATCTCAGCTACTTTGGAATTGGGTGTAGAACGTCAGATAACACAGTTGTTTTTCCCCCATGTTCTTCCCGGCTTGATCATTTCCTAAGATGAGGTCTGGGGGCCCATTGTTAGTTCTGAGATAGCAAAACAGGGAGCAGGTTTTATCCATTCCGTTCCTCGCTCAGCCATGGTTCTCTGAGCTTGTCCTGGGCCTCAGTGCCTTTATCTTTTGAGTGGGGAGACAGTTCTTCCTTCCTGGCCTCCTTTTAGGGTAAGGTTGTGAGGTTAATGAATACAGAGTTCTTATTTTCTCAGGGATCAAATTGCTCACCATTGGAGAACAGCCCTATCGAATTTCTTTAATATATTGGTCAGAGAAAATCGTTATATAACATTCTACTAGTTGAAAGAGTTAAATCCCTCTCTAAGCTGAGCCATTAATTCCATCATAGAGAAGGGAATTGCTAGTCATTGTTTTTGTTTGTTTGTTTACCTTTTTTATTGAGAAACAACTCAGAGGGTGCGCATCTTAAGTGTACAGCTGAATGAATTTTTATATATGTATATACCTATGTGTAAACACCACACAGATCAAGGTATAGAACATTTCCAACATCCAGAAAGACCCTCTCCCGCAAAGATACCCACTGTTCTGACCTCTATTGCCCCAGGCTGGTGCTGGAACTTCATACAGGTGGATTCATATAGTATAGATTCCTTTGGGTCAGCCTTTTCTCACTTAGAAAAATGTTTTTGAGATTCATCCATGTTGTTGTCTGTGTTGTTAGTTCATTTATTCTCATTGCTAAGTAGAATTCCATTGTATGGATATAGCACCCTTTATTTATCCATTCTCCTGAAGAGGGGGACTTGGGTGTTATCCAGTTTTTGGCAATTTATGAATAAGTTGCTCTTATGCATGTCTTTGGCGGACATAAACACTCATTTCTTCCGGTTTTATGCTGACAGGTATAAAACAGTGAACCAAAGCTGTCCCCGTTTGTGAACAGACGCTGTTGCCGTCCAGGCTCTGACACCGCACAGCACAGCCTGGCCCTGTGAGCGGTGTCCTGAGAAGCGGCTAAGGCCTTGCTAGGAATGCGGCCCTCCAGCCATTCCGCCAGGGGAGGCAGGCCCAAGCCACACACCCTCACCCCTTCCTTCCCCAAGTGCCTGCCCAACTCCACGGGGCTCCATTTCTTTAGCAGATTTTGTCCTTGATTTTAGAGCCCTTCTGACAAACCCACCACATATGAGGCCAACAGTGTCCAAATTTATGAACATGACTATACACTGTTCTTATCTGTGGGTATCCTAAGCCTTCTTTGGGCCTCAAGGTATTTCATTTATCTATTACTACATGACAAGCCACCCCAAAACTTAGTGGTTTAAAACAACAGTGATTTATTATTTATCATGATTCCATGGGCCAGGAATTAGGTCAAGGCTCTGCAGGGCGATTCTTCTGCTCCATGTGGCATTAGCTGGGGTCACTTACTCAGCTGTGTTCAGCTGATGGCACAAGATGATCTCTCACCCTCCAGGCCTCTCTCCCTACGGCTACTAATCTTACTCAGTAGTCTAGCCTGGACTTCCTTTCAGCAAGAGAGAGGAAGTAGCAGCTGCCAATTTTCTTACATCCTTGACTTTAAAATCTCAGAACATCATTTCTTCCTCATTCTATTGATCAAAGAAAGTCACAAGGCCAATCCCAATTCAAGGGAAGCGGGGAACTGAATTTTGGAGACCATCTCTCCCTCATGGGATAACATGAAGTCACACTCCTCTCAGACTTGAAAACTTACAGCGAATGACTGGTAGTGACACTTATTTTTAAAAATAGAACCCTTAATTGCCACCAAGAATTATAATAATACAGAGAAAGGTTCCTTCAGTTACCATTCTTGGTTCTCCAGCAGAATTCAGTTGTGCAACGCTTGGTGTAAATTGTCCGTCTCTGCTCCATCTTTGTTAGTAGAGGGGAATACTCTGGGCTTGGAGGTTGGGCATTTTCCCACATGAAAAAATTATTACACCTAGTCAGAATGCAGCAAAATGGTATCTTTATCCTACCATACTTCTGGCACAGTGTGGGTTAAATTAATTTAAGGGTCTCTTTCTGCCAAGACAGCATGAGTCTGGGGGCCAAATGCATTCCAAGGTCCAGATTGCCGAGGGGACTCTGAAGCCCAGCCGGTTGTTCTTCCTACTTTGGCAGCTTGGGGGGCCTGGAACATTAGTGAAATCCTAGAGGGGATGAGGAAGCTTGAAAGCTGAGCTTTCAGAGGAGAGCTGGGCTGGCATGACGTCCTCCCAGTGCCCCCCAGCTGCAGTGTGTGAGGTGCGGCATGGCCAGAGCACAGCATGGCTTTCCCACAGGACTTACAATGCTCCGCCAAGGTTCTCGTTGGTCCCAAGTCCCCTTCCTTCTGCCTGTCGGGAGGCTTTCTGTGTGGCCCCACTCAGGGATGCTCATGGCCATTCCGTACACTTCTTGCCTACAGTGTTTCAGTGCAGGCTTGCTGGTGTTGATTCCATAGTTCTGTCGTTTGTGCTAAGTTTCCTGGCGCAGGTAATCGCAGAAATGAATCTGCTACTGAGTCATCAGAGATGCTTTCAACTGCAGATTACAGAAAGCCCAGACTCAACTCAAACCAATGGTTCTCAAACTTTAGCATGCATCAGAATCACTCTATTCAAACACCCATTGCTGGAACAGGGCCCAAGAATGTGCATTGTAAACAAGTTCCCAAGGGTTGCTGATGCTGCAGGTGCAGGGACCATACTTTGAGAACCACTGACTTAATAGGAAAAAGTGTTTTATCTCACCTAAGAGGTTTGGAGGGAGGCAGTTCCATGGTGAGCTAATTTGGTGACTCACTGACACCACCGTAGACAGGACGTTCTTTCCCTCTCTTCTCTCTCCCACCCTCCGCATCTAGGCTCTGTTCTGGTTTCAGGATGGCCTCTTACAGTTCCAGGTATCAGTCACATCCAGATCAAATGATGCCGAGAGGAAGAAGGTGCATGGGGCTTTCTCCTCATTGTGTTTAAAAGCAGCAGCAACAAAGAGGCTTTACTTGCAATTGGATTTGAGATAATCCGGGGCCGAGTCACGGGCTTCTGGATTATCATGCTGCAGAGTCAAAGCTGCTTAGTAGGGGCACCCAGGAGAGAGAAGTTAAGAGGTTTTTCCCAAGCTCTTCCATTTCCTTGTGGAGTTTCCTTTAATCTTTCCATGTATTTGCTGCTTCCCAAATCTGAGGTGGAGCCTTTCATGGCCCTGCTTTGCATCATTTCCTGCAGAGAATCATGTTTTTTGATCGAGAATCCTCCCTTCTGGAGGTTTGTGAAGTGCAGGAGAATGATACCATTTGGTTTCCTCCTATTTATACCTGTAACTAGGTTAGCCTTTCCTGCCCCCATCATTGCTTGACTTGGTCCAAGTGAAACTGGGATGAGGGTGGCAGTTGCTCATATGGACCCTCAGTCTGATGTGTCTCTCCCTTCCACTGGCACTGCCTTCCCTATAATCCCAGCTGAGTCCTAACCTCTTCCTGTGCACCCCAGATCCTTCAGGCCCTGGGGAAGTCCTACCACCCCGGCTGCTTCCGCTGTGTCATCTGTAATGAGTGTTTGGATGGGGTACCCTTCACTGTGGACTCAGAGAACAAGATCTACTGTGTCCGGGATTACCACAAGTAAGGAGAGCCACTCGTGTAAGCCACACTGGCTGAAACTCAGCAGGGTGGAGGGTGGGGACCTGCTGAGGCACATCTGCAGGCTGCTTGCACTGTTGTCGACAGTGCAGCGAACGTGCAATGGTTTTGAGGGGTGTAGTACGGGCCTCGGGGGTCAGCGGATGCCCGTGCAGACAGGAACTGATTAAAGAATTACGTTTACTGGAAAAACAGGACCAAAAAACCTATAATCAGATTCCAGACTAGGCCTCTGGAGGAATGTGCCAAGCCCTGTGGCTCCAGCCTTACCAAACTTCAAAAGGCCCTGATTCAGGGCTGGTCTCCACCACCCTCGGTTTGCCTGGGCCTGTATGAGGCACCATGAGGGGGGTAAACAGGTCAGCCTCCAGCCCTAGCAGAGTGAGAGGGAGCAAATGCACTTGTTACCTCTGAGGAACAATCCCGAAGCAATAGTCAGGAGTGTGCCAGGTCTGTCTTTATAGACGAACTAGAGGGATTCATGTGAAGAGTGATGGGTGGGAGGCAGGGCCGGGCCAGCGAGGAAGGCTCCAGGCACAAGTCTCCCCGAAACACCTCAATATGCCCTTCACTGCTTCTTTGCTTCTCCCGCCAGGGTGTTGGCCCCCAAGTGTGCAGCCTGTGGCCTTCCCATCCTTCCACCTGAGGTAAGATGCTTTTTCAGTTCTGCTCCTGGGGTCTTCCAAGAGATGAATATTTCCCTGGGTCATTTACAAGATCTGTGTCCTGTCCTTATACCTTTGTAAAAATACTTCTAAAATCTCAACTCTGAGATAAATGGTGTCTTCACCAAGAAGCCCGTTTCTCATTAGCTGCCTTCCCTAGCCCAGTGTCCTTCTTATGCCCTGTTTGTCCCTGTAATTGGGTCACATTCTCTGACTTGATACTAACTCCCAGATTAGATGATGAGCAGATGAACAAGACCAAGTAGGTGGTTTTTTCACTGTTGACTCTGACATTCCAGATGGTAGAACTGCATCCCTCTCAGTTCCTCTCATCTACTCTATGTGTCCTTTTTTCTGCTGGTGTTAGTATCCACTACTGATTCCTGCAGTTCTCCTAAGGCCACCTACTTGCTGCCCCGGAACCCTCCCCCACCCTCCTGGCAGCGGAGCCCGATGGCCCCCCATATAGCCTCTGGTTCTTGCTTTCCTTTGGTCCAGGGCTCAGATGAGACCATCCGAGTCGTGTCCATGGACAGAGACTACCACGTGGAGTGTTACCACTGCGAGGTAGGCCCCTCCCTGCCCTAGAAGGCCCCCAAAACCCATCCTAGAAGTCCAAGAGGAAAGCATCGTGGGTTGATGGAGGCAGGATGTGGGCAAGGGGCTGCCCTCCAGAGCTGACAGAAGAAGTGGGGTGAAGCCTGATTTGGTGGTGGGGGGAGGGAGGTTGGAGAAGATGCGTAAAAGTCTTTACTGTTTTCTCCATGTTTGTAACCACCAAGTCCTGAGCCGGTCACAGCTGCTCTCCCTGAAGCCACAGAGTGGGAGGGTCACGGGGAGTGTGGGTTTCAGGTCCTTTTGGGGGGCCAGATTGTCAGGCAGGTGTGTGATTTGAGGAATAGACTCCCTCCCCTCCAGCTTGTAGTCTGTTCTATCTGCCGGGAACCCCTTTCTCAACCGAGCCCTGAAAATCCTGAAGAAACCCCCCTTGGAAACAGGCATGTTGCTGGTTGGTGTAAAGGCAGGTGGAGCCCATCTGTCCCTTCTCTGTTGTGTCACACCCCAGGCTGAAGGAGTCACTGGTGCCCCATGACTGTCAGGAGAGCCAGAGGTTGTGAAGGGTGCAAACGCGTTAAGTGCTTGTGAAATTTCAACCAGAATTAAGTGGATTCACCCAAGGAAGGAGATTTATTTTGTGATGCTGTGGGTAGGGAGAACAATGAGTGTGGGTGACATATAGCTTGATCCCACTGCCAGCATGGAAGAAATAGGTGGGAATCACTGTTGGTTGGTACCCCAGGTGCTGGAAAAAAAGGTAAAGACACTTGCTCAACTGTGCTTTTATTCAACCCAATATATACAAAACGTTATCGCTTCAACATGCAGTTGAGAGAAAAAAATTTTCCTGAGATATTTTATATCCTTTTTCTGTCCTAAGTTTTGGAAATCTGGTGTGTGTGTTTGCACTGACATGACATCTCATTTCTGACCAGCCCCATTCCAAGTGCCGGAGAGCTTCATGTGGCCAGTGTTGGACAGTACAGTCCAGACCCTCACTGGGCTGGAGCTGCGTGTCTCCGCACCGGCATTTTTTTTTTGCCCGGAAAGAATCACACAGCGCCCTCTGCTGGTTGTACGGGACTGTGTGTGGCCTTTGTGTCACTCTTGCAGTCTGTTTTGTTTTGTTTCGTCACCACTGGATATTTTTGCCTCACCCCAGGACTGCGGTCTGGAGCTCAATGATGAAGATGGTCACCGCTGCTACCCCCTGGAGGACCACCTGTTCTGTCACTCCTGCCACATCAAGAGGCTGGAGAAGGGTCACTCATCCACAGCCCTTCACCAGCACCACTTCTAGCCAGAGCCTCCTGCAGATCTCATGGTGGGGAGGAGCCAGGGTTGCACCATGAGGAGTCCGCGGGTTAATTCCTGTCACCCCTGGGGACGGATTGGGATTGGGGGAGTGGAGGGGAGGCAGGTGCCTTTCCTTTAAACAAGGAGGGGATCCCTGCTGGTCTGGGATTATGTATTTTTTTCACTGCTGCCACACCCTCATCAGATTACTCAGGAAGAAACCCCAGCAAGCGCGTGGCATGTGACAGGAGATCTCATTAGTGTGACTGAATGAACCTTCCTGTCCCCTCTGGGAAGAGTTCACACTTCAGTGGGAAAGGTTTGCACTGAAGAGAGATTTCAGCTGCCGATATGTTCAATCCTTTCCCTCCCCTTTGGAAAATACCTGCACCCAAACACCCCCTCCCAACCCCTCCCCCGCCCCACACACACCATAATTTAAGATTTCCTTCCACTCCAGAGCTTCAGTTCTTCTGTAGAATGGCTGCAAATTTTAATTGCATCATCGCAAGAGGGATGCTCTGACGTGTGCTTTGTATCTTAGGAAGAATTCACTTGGTAAAGCAGAGCCAAGGTTTGAAATAAGTGAGATGGGGTTTTCTCCTTGTAGCCTAACATCATTCTGTGTGCCCCTGGAAATCTTCACTCCTTTAAAGGCAGCTGGCGGCCTGATGGAGGATTGATCCTGTTCTAGGAAAGTGTGCTTTGGGATGAGAACTTGGTGCAGGCGCCAGGCCTCTTTTGCCCGCCTGTTGTGCTTTTTTTCCTCTGGAGCTCTCAAGAATCTGGGACTTCAGAGTTCCCCCTGCAAAGGCTGGTCTCGGGATCTTTCGTGGAGATCCTCTTATGCCTATTTTCGCTTCTTTAACAATGGACTTTGGGGAAGTGTGCCCACATACTGAGACCTGACCCCTTATTAATGAGGAGAGTTTTTGTGTGTAAGATCTCAAAGCCAGCCTGGGAGAGAGTGCCTGAGCATAAGGTATGATATTCATTTCACAGGTCCCTCTCTTGCCAATTCAGGTATTATGCTTGAAGAAACCAGTATAAGGTACACTGCTTTTGTCTGTTTTTTTTTTTTTTTCTTTCTGTAAAAATTGTTTCCCTCTACTTTCAGTCTCCCACACACAAAAAATACCTCACAGATAAGAGCTTCAGATTAAGGACGAATTTGGCCATCACACTGGACTCAGCCAGTGTGTGTTAGGAACCTCTGGCTTCACCCAGGTCAGACCAGTGGGTCAGGGCACTGTAATCTTAACTAAAGTTCAGCTGGGAATAGATCTGATTGATACTGGGTGCTCCTGCCTTATGCATTTCATCATGCTGGCTCCCCGGGATGGCAAGGGCTAAGGGGGGGCCACCTACTGGCAGGATTTCAAGGCCACCTCTGCACTGAAGAGGCAAAATGTGCCCTGTGTGTCACACTCCTGAGGCCAGAGGTCAGTACCCCTGGGTATTTCAATGAGAAGAAAGTGTGAGAAAAAGGTTGGCTGACATTTGGCTTCTCAGCCCACGGGGAGGGACCCTGGGCCTTTTCGCAGGAGGACAGGGGCCATCTCACCACTGCCAGCCAGGCTGGGAGCATCTGCTCTCTGCCGCCTCACCTCACATCCAGAGGGAGGGGATTGGGTGGCTGGGGCCTCGGAGGGCGTCAGTGGAACCCAAAGGCACAGGGACTCACAGACTATTCACTGGGCCCAGTTCTAAGCCTCTAAACCATGCTTTGACTCCTTTGGTAGCAGTTGCCTGTAAGAAGCACAGAAATGGCACCATGGATTGTCTTTTCCGTTTTTGTTAAATTCATTCTGCTGGAATCCTTTGGCCAGATGTCACTTCAGCCCAAGCTGTGTGATTCTACTGGTTCCTTTTCACAGGCTGAGCCTCCTAAAAACCCATGAGTGTTTATATGAGGGCTAAAAACCCAGGGGGTGGGGAGGTGAACCCTGGGGTCCCCCCTCCCTTCCCAGCATACCATCCAGCTCAGCCTTGGCAAGGCTGGTGGGCAGATGGAGCCAGCCAGTATGTCTCAACCTGTCTCTGCCAACCTAGGATTATTTCTGGCCTTGATGACACACCTTTGCTCCACTATCAAGTCAAGCAGAGGAAAGAAAATTGCCTTGGAGCCACATCAGAAGTAGCAGGGATTTGTTTGCAACTTGGTAACAGTTGACCCTTGAACAGCATGGGTTTGAACTGCATGGGTCCATTTATATGTGGATAATTTTCAGTAGTAAATACTGCAGTCAGTACTACACGAGATCTGTGGTTGGTTGAATCCACGCTGCAGAGGGACCACGGTTACGGACGGCCGACTGTAAGTTATATGAGGATTAACCCTTAAGTTGTTCAAGGCATAACTGTAGTTTAAAAATCTGATTCACTTTTTAAATGAAATTTTTTTTTTTTTTTTTGCGGTACGCGGGCCTCTCACCGCTGTGGCCTCTCCCGTTGCGGAGCACAGGCTCCGGACACGCAGGCCCAGCCGCCATGGCTCACGGGCCCAGCTGCTCCACGGCACGCGGGATCCTCCCGGACCGGGGCACGAACCCGCGTCCCCTGCATCGGCAGGCGGACTCCCAACCACTGCGCCACCAGGGAAGCCCCTAAATGAAATTTTTAAAGTGTCCTTGATTGAGGCAATTTTGATATCTCAGCAAATATTTTATACTGCTGAAGAAGAACAATAAGAGAATTTCTAGACACCCTAGAAATCTGAGAGGCAACTTCTCTTACTGTCAGTGTCCCTGGAGAGGGTAATGGGTAGGAATCTCCTACCAGTTTTGTCTCCTCCTCAGGCCCTTGCAAAAAAGCCATGAATAGATGCCCACTTACCTGGTATTTTAAACTTTCTATAAATTATTAGCCAAATAGAGCTATAATGGGGTTGTATTTATAGGCATGTAGAAAGAACACACAAGCACTTCGTAGACCAGGATGAATAAGTTTGTTTTAAAAGGTAGAGCAGATAGCCTTGAGTTCCCTAGATGACTCGTGGACTTTAGATAAACAAGAATTATGGGCTGATTCCAGATGCCAAAGCCAGCCTCCAGCCTTCTCCCTTGCCTCACTTTGCCCTCTAGTTTTTTCTTGTCATTTTTCCCCCCCAGCTAGGGTCATTCAAAAACGGCCTGAGTGATCTGAGAAAAGCCAGGAATGCAGTTTGGCCTGTCATAGCAGGATCCTCTCTCTCTGACATTATCCTCCCCTCTGTGGTTGAGTAGAGAGTGATTCGTTCATTTTTCACACAGAAGGGCATTGAGTCCTGTTGGGTCATTGCCTGCACGTGGCGGCAGGACTTTCCATTTCTCCGTGGTTAGTGCTTGAGCGAAAGCCTCTTTCAGCTGAGTCCACTGAGGTTGTGCCACTGAGTCCTGGGTGGCCGGTGGGATTACCAAGGAGTTCTGATTGCTTTCAAGTGCTGCCATCACCTTGTTTCCGTGGACTTGAGTTACCCAAGATGAAAAACAGAAATGTTAGAATTTGAGAGAATGATCTGGAATTCATACTCCTTTGCAGGCTGTTTTTGTGTGCCGTTTCCCACGTGTGTGAAAGTATGAGAGCTATGATGGCTGCTAGTGCCCTTGCAAAGAATGTGTGCAAGACTTGACCCCAAACCATTGTTGCTTGATGCACTTGTTAAAACTGTCGACCAGGAAACCAAGTGCTTTGTATTCTCCTTTGTGCCAGGAATGAGTCCTAATTTCCCAGTTACTATTGGAAGTAACTTTTAAAAGCAGTAGGAAAAAGATGAGGAAGATGTGTTAGCTATCAATTGTTCTGAGCCAGAACTGGACAAATATGGGAAATTTCTATATAGTGTATGAAAATTTCACTCTGCAGGGAAATTATTTTCCCCTGTGTCTCTTCTTTTACTTTAACTGATTCAAAATATTGTTCCTGTAAAATTATTCAAAATTTTACTGTTACTATAAAATTATTCAGAATATTGTTACCATAAAATTATTCAAAATATTGTTAACTATAAAATTATTCAAAAATTTACTGTTACTATAAAATTATTCCAAATATCATGACAATAAAACTGCCTTAATTTGTAGACTATTAAAGTGATCTCCAACATAATCATGTTTACTGGGTCTGCTTTTGTGTGTATGGAGTAAGCAGATGGGGCTTTTTGCTAACGGGATTTGGTCTTTTAGAGCTCTCGATTCTTTTTTTTCCTTTCTTTCTTTTCCATTATGGTTGATCACAGGACATTGAATATAGTTCCCTGTGCTATACAGTAGGACCTTGTTGTTTATCCATTCTGTATGTAATAGTTTGCATCTGCTAATCCCAAACTCCCAGCACAACTCTCCCCCGCCCCTTTGCCCCTTGGCAACCACAAGTCTGTTCACTATGTCTGTGAGTCTGCTTCTGTTTCGTAGATAAGTTCATTTGTGTCATATTTTAGATTCCACTTAAAAGTGATATCATATGATATTTGTCATTTCTGCCTTACTTCACTTAGTATGATAATCTCTAGGTCCATCCATGTAGCTGCAAATGGCGTTATTTCATTCTTTTTTATGTCTGAGAGCTCTGGATTCTTAAAGAAATATTCGGGCGTTGAAACTGTGTAGGGTCTCAGATTTTATCCTACTGGCAAGCTAATAAGCTAGCATGCCATGGTTTTGTGGATCCTGGCAGAAGTTATAAGACTCCTGGGTCAGAGACAAAGGACACTTTATTACTCACAGTAGCAGCAGTAGCGTTTCACACTGTAAGCCTTTGCACTAGTTGCCTGAGCTCCAGTTCCTACAGGGCCCCGTGAAGAGGGCCAGGTGATACCTGCATATGCGGTGGGCTGTGTTACAAGAGGAAACCCAAGCTTAGAGAACCACAATCTTTTAAAAATGGGCAGTAAACCTGCCTGACTTTTGCTCCAGAGAGAGACGCTATCTCTTCCATCCAAGTCTGTTTATTACTCAAACATCCTTAAAAAGGTAGTCTGGAAGTAAGGCAGTGCCTCCCTCACAAGGTGTGTAGGAATGTGAGAGACGCTTAGAGAATCGTCTTTCAGTCTTTCAAGCATCCAATTTCTTCACCTGGGACCTTATTATTGAGACTTTTCAGGTCATGCTCAAAACGGTGGTCATTTTGTCGCCTTCCCTTTTGTGTATGTTACTGTTTTTTCTAATGAGGTTATGACCAAAGAATTCCAGAGGTGAGTGACCCTCTAGATTTAAGGCAACCACATACAGGAAGGCAGGACTTGCAGACGGAAGGGGCAAGCAATGAGAGAGTGGCTATTCCGATCTTACAAATGCAGGCTGCTGCTTTTCTATGACCCTGATGCTACAAGGGATGAAGATGTAGTCAGGGGAAATGTCTGGGCCAGGGTGTGCCCAGGACTAGAGACGAGGTCTCCCGATTGCTAACTAGCATGGGAGAAGGGGTGAGGAGCCAAGGTATGTGATTGCCATCTATACCCAGACAGGGAATAGCCCTGAGTCGACTCATGTGGTCAACCCTCTGGTGCACAATAAGCCCTCGGGCGGGGTGGCTTTGGGGTCAAAAGCCTGGATTCAAGTTGTAACTCAGGCTCCACCACCAAACTGCTCAATGAACGTAAGCAAATTTAGTTCCCTCATCTGTAAAAATGGGGATAACAACTGAACTTACCTTACAGGACTATTGTGGAATTGACTGAATTAGTCCAAGTAACGAGCTTAGAGCTCTTAATTTTTCAATAATAGTCACAGGTTTTAAGACTTACTTGATCTTTCCATTGGGACAACTAACAAAATAAATTACAAATGGGTTAAAGTACATGGACAAAACGATACAAACACAATTTGAAAAGAGCAACAGAAGAAACCATAGGGTAAATATTGGTAAACTGGAATATATAAAAGTGAAAATTACTTGAGGTTCAAAAATATTATAAGGAAAAGGAAAATATAAAAGATAAGCTAAAAATTGCAATGCGTTCAATAGCTTAAGAATTAATATCCTTAATATACTTAAAAGTTTAACAAATCTATAAGAAGAAAATGAGTACATATATCAAGAGAAAATATATACATCAAGTAATATAAGTAAAAGGAAGTTCCGTTTTTCAGTTAAGAAAAGTGCAAAAAAATCATAATGAAATTTATAATACTCAGTGTTAGCATGCAAGGAAACATGCTATTGATGGAAATGTGTATTTGTTTAAATTTTTTGGCAGGCAACTTGAAAATATATACCAAAGTCTTAAAAAGTCCTTGAAATGGACCTTAAAAATGTCTCTCTGATCATTCAACATCTAAAAATTTATAAGATATCAGAAATAATTCAACATAGCATTATTTTTAAAAAAGTGTTAAACTGACAACAACCCAGATTCCCAACAAAGAGGGTAATGTTTAAAATATCTAGTTTTTTTATGGGTTATCTTCAAAGGATGTTTAATGACCATAAATCTCAGACCCAAAGCTAAGGGGACAAAATGAGAACACAAAGACATTTGTGACAAAACCCCAAATTTGGAAAAAATACGTGTGTAGGTTTATATTAAAAAGTGTGGAAGAAAAGTAAAGTCCATAAGGAAAAAAAATTATGACGTTAATAGTAACGACGGCGGGGGCGGGGATTATGACGTTAATAATAATTATCTCGGGATGGGAATTTGCGTTTTTTTGATTCCCAGTACTTTTCTGTATTTTACAAGTTTCCTGTAATTTGTTCAGGAGGAAAAAACGTTATATTGGAGAGATTAATTGATCGATTGAATGATTACTTATGGGCAGTGTCGGATGTTTCCGCCACTCTTCAGGTTTGACTCTCCTTTCCGCCACAGACCTTTCGGTCCTTCTCAGGTCTTCCACCCAGGCGCCAATAGAATGAGGGGTAATATATAATACTAGATTACCTGGGGTCTTCGTACTGCAAAAACACCCATGTGCTAAGGTTTCCCGATTCACTGGGGACCAGGAGCTCTCAAGGGACAGGGCTGCAGACTCCGATCACTTTGCGGACCCCCTCTAACGCGCGCAGCCGCACTGCAGCGTTCGCGTCTCCGGGACAGGTTACAGCCAGAGCTCACCAGATCCTGGTAAACTGGGACTGTGCCGCTTTTTACGTCACCGTAGGGGTTCTGCTCCACGGGAAAAAGGGCCAGAACTGCTGCCTTAAATGCGCTTTTGTGTCATCCGCTAGCTAACCTCGGGCCACAGCACGCCCCCCTACTGCAAACTACCACCATTCTAGGTGTGTTTTCCCACATGTAACCCATTTACAGAGTCTCCTCGTGTGCATCATTAACTAGGACGCTTTGCAGTTTACAAACCACCTCACACAACTCCGGCTTCCAAACACAGCTTAAAAGATGACATTTCGGGCACAGTAGCGTTAAAATTCAAGATATTTAACCTTCACACCAGAGTCCTAAGGACGTCCTGTAACATCAAACCCAGTTGTGGCTAAAAAGCACGCCTCGAGCCAGCCAGGAGTCGAACCTAGAATCTTCTGATCCGTAGTCAGACGCGTTATCCATTGCGCCACTGGCCCCGCACTAACAGAAACACCACTGTAGCATAGATCACGCCTTACGCATCTACGACAGGCTCCCCGACACTAGCGCCGGGCGTCACGGCGCTAGTCCACAGCTCCCAAGGCTCCGCCTTTCCCCCACCATGCGCTCCGCCAATCCGCAGCGGTGACGTCACGGCGCTCTTCGGCGCACTCCCATCCACCGCATCGGACTGCGCCTTTAGCGTTCTATAGCGCGCGCGCTAAGTTTGTCCACGGCCGCCTCCCGTTCGGGAGCAGCCCGGCCGGGCAGGGAGAGGAGGTGGGACGAGGCGGGGCGTTGCGGCCGCCGTGCCAGGGTGACCGGTTTCGCTGTATTCGAGGTGGCGGGGCGGGCGGAAGGGGCAGGGAGGAGGCCGCGGTGCAGGATGGCGGCAACAACCTACGAGCGGCTGAAGCTGTGAGTTCCGCGGGCCGGAAGCCGTTGCCCGAAAGGGTCTGCGGGGCGGCGGGTGGGGCGGCAGGTGTGGGCCGCCGGCAGCGGGGAGGCTTCCTGAGTTCCGGGGCGGCGGGCCGGGTGTGGGAACCCCGCGCGCTCCCCGCCTTACTCGCCGGGCGCGGCCGCTCGCGGCGCCGCGCCCGAGTCGCCACAGGCCCGGGAGCGGCTGTCCCGCCAGCTTTTCTCCACTCAACTCGGTCTCAGAGGCCACGGCGGGGGACCGAAGCTGCGCACCGTCTTCCGGCGAGCCCGGCTCGCCGTTTGGATGCAGCCCTTCGGGGCACGCTCCTCCCCACTTTATTTTATTTTTTATTGTTTGGAGAGGTGGCGGCTAAATTTATCCTTATCGCTTAGGAGAGAAAACGAGAAGTTTTTTTCTTATTTCGTGGACCCATAGCAGCACGGATAGCAGCATGTTAGAGGCCACACACAAATGGATAAACCTTTATCTGGGCATTGAAGCCTTCGTGACCGGTCTTGAGGATGCATGAAAAATTTAAAGTACAGTCAATACTCTTAAGGTCCTAAAAGGTTTACTTGGCTTTAAATATTATACCGCCCAAGCATAAAGCAGATTGTTAGGTCCACGTGGACAGCCAGGGGCTACTGTAGAGAATTTTGGCCCTGTAAATTGACTTTTCGGTAAAGCCAAGCTCTTGAGGCTCTGAGAAATAGGCTCTGGTTGTTAGAGTTGTAAATTAGGTATTTGTAGGGTTTGGGGTTCGTCCTGGGTTTAAAACAAAAGCAAAAACATGATTTCCCTTAGCATTACTATCAGCCCCTATGCTTTTCTTGTCTGTGAATAACTTTGTTCTACTCACTTTGTGTTCAATGCTTTACCTCTAGACTGAAAATCCAGTGACCACATCTCAGAAAGTCTTTGGCAACAGAAGCAGATGTGATTATTGAGAAGCTTATCTATCCCTAAATAAGTTAAAACATCTTGGGACTTAGGCACAGGTATCGCATTTCCTATACAAGGATATGAGGACATCAAGATGTGGTTTGGGCACTTCCTATGCTCCCCAGAACCTCAAGCTCACTTAACTTTCTGGAAGGTTCAGTTAAAAGTTAGGGCTGCAGAATTGGAAGTGAGGCCATCTCGACATCAGATGTTTTGCATAAAAGAAGATTACTTTTTCCTCAGTCCACCCCCCCCTTACCACTTATCTTCACTGTAATTCCCTTGAAAACCCCCAGCTGCACACTTCCCTCCACATTTTCCTTGTTAGGTTTCCTTATTCTCTCCCGGTTCCCCATCACAAGGTGATCACCTTGTTGGTGAATGAGTCTAGGAAAGTGTCTTTGACTGAGGTACTGGCGGGGCCAGTGTCACGTGTGCTGTGTTGGCTAATTAGGTTATTGTTGTCTATCTGATAGTCACTAAAGGGTTTTAATGTGATCCTACACCAGGTCTCAGTTGTGTTTAAGAAATATGGAGCCTTGGCTTGATTGCCGCTCAGCGTTAGGTTACGAAATGCAATCGAATTTTCCTGTGGCAAAGATTGAATGGGATGGAGAACTTGAGAGTTATGATGATAACTGCCAAGGAGGCAATAAATGCACCAGTCCAGACCTTAAAAAAAAAAAAAGCTCTGTATCCATAAAAGAGAAAGGAAATTTGGCACTGAAGTGGTGACGCTGATGCTTTTGTATTGATTTTTGTGAGAAGTGGAAACTATAAATTTGTTTTGGGGAAAAAGTAAATCTGGGGTTATATGAAAGTCATTCTCTAATTTTTCAGTGCTTAACTTTTTTCCCTGAAAAAAAATAGTTCTAAATGCTTCTGTAAATGAAGATACAACTTTTTTACAACTTTGTTTTTCTTTGCCAAGGAGTTTGTGAGTTGGAGTCTCTGCTCATTTCTTTTGTTTGGCCCTTGCTGCTCTGAGGCGTGGTTTTAAAATGTGGCCTCCGACCTAAGGTGTATTCTTTTTTAGATGCATTGGAGGTGGAAGTGGTTTCTGATCCATATAAGAATTACAGGACATAATGGCCATTTTTAAAAGTGCCTAGAGATATGTTTTAAGGAAGATCCGTACAAGAGATAGTTTGATTATTGTGTTATGAAAGTATTGTTATTGGGTTCATTTAAATATCGAAGTGCTTGGGATTTTAAAAATTTGTTCTGTGTTATGCCATACATTTTTTCCAGTCCATCTCTGTCCTGTGGTGTTCACCTTCCTAATGCCCTAAGTTTCATCCTCTACTCTCCCGCTTACAATCTCCAGTTCCATTTTATTGACTTACAGGAATAAGCCCACATTTCTTAGCCACCTGTATTCTAGCCTCTTCACAGTCTATCCCCTAACCTTATTTCCCATAACTGCCCAGTGCTTTTTTTTCTTCCTTTTTTTTCCCTTTCACCAGACTTGGACACCCTCTTTTTGCTTCAAGCTTGGGCTTATTTTGATCTTTCTATCCAGAATGTTTTCTTCCTCTCTTCCCCTCTTTACATGCTGATCACATCTATGGTAGAGCCGAGACAACTCTGGTTTTTTAAGTCAGAACAGACTTAGATTTATTTAGACTTAGATTCACCTGCTATTTGCTTTGTGTCCTGACCATGTTACTTAATCTCTCTGAATGGGGTTTTCATCTGTAAAATGGGAACGTTTCTACTTCACAGTATTATAAGGACTGAAAGAGCGTAGATGAAACCAGCATACTTAACAGATACTCCTCGTCTCTGCGAAGCCTTTTTTCCAATGTCTTTTCCTTCACTGAGCTCCCATAACAGTCTACTGTCACAGGAACTAGACACCAAACGTCTATATGAGTTTTCACATTGTCTCTTACGATTCATTAGCAGTGTACTTACTGTCTGATGGACACGAGGACTGAAAGAATGATCGAGCCATAGCACTGTTTGAACCACTCACTTTGCTGCCTAGAAATGATGAAGTCATTAATAAATACTTTGTTTCTCCAACTAGGTTACAAGTATGTAGAACATATTAGAAACACCTTAACATTGATTTCTTCTCTAGTCCTCAGTTCCTAACGTAAAGCCTGGTGCATTGCAGGTCCTCAGTGGATCACCTAAGTAAATGAAAAGAACTTTCCTCGGACGTGGTATAGAAGTGAGTTACTTAACAACTGAAAATAATTGACATGTTCATTATGGATTTTTGATGTAGAAAACAATATTGATTTGTTCAGAATTTAAAATTTATACTATTTAAACATCCAGGCAGTTCTTAATATTCCTATTTTGCAACTCCTTTTTTCATTTAAAATCATTTGTGTAAGCCTTTGTAATGTCAAACAGTGATAAGTTTGAAATTGCAAGACAATTAACAGAAATCCATGATTGGAAACCTTTAAAGCATTTTTTTTCCTTTTAAAGGTCAGGTGAAAAAAGTGTAAGGCAGAAAGTGAATCAGGTTGCAGCTTCTATCTGAAGAAACATTGTTTCCTCAGTTAAGAAGTGGACTTTCTTTTTAAAACATTGTCATAGCTGTGAGGTCAGCCAAGGGAGAGGTGATAGAATCCTGAGGACAGATGTAAACTAAGCAATTCTGTGATGAAGATATATGTAGTTTATACAGTCCAGTGAACATTCAGATTACTCACACATCTCTCTTCTTGACTGCCTTCATCCAATTCCACCTCTCCCGTCCACCCCCCCTCCCGCCCATCTCTGATAACCACAAATCTTATCTCTTTTCTTTGAGTTTGTTTTTGAAGTGTAATTGACCTACAATGCTATGTTAATTCTTGGTACACAAGATAGTGATTTGGTATTTTTGTACATTTAAAAATGGTCACCATGATAAGTCTTGTTATGATATGTCATCATACGAAGATATTACATAGTTATTGACTGTATCTCCACAGTGTACATTTCATACCCTTGACTCATTTACTGTGTTTTATAACTGGAAGTTTGTACCTTTTAATCTCCCTCACCTATTCCTTTCCTTTCCCTACCTACCTCCACTCCGGCGACCCTCTGTTCTCTGTAACTCTAACTCTGCTTCTGTTTTGTTTGTTCGCTTGTTTTTTAGATTCCATGTATAGGTAAAATCATACAGTGTTTGTCTTTCTCTTTCTGACTTATTTTACTTAGCATAATACCCTGTCGGTCCATTGGTTGTTGCAAATGGCAAGATTTCATTGTTTTGTTATGGCTGAGTAATATTCTAGTGTGTGTGTGTGTGTGTGTGTATATATATATATATATATATATTTCATACATGTTTTTTATCCATTCATCTATTGATGGGCACTTGGGTTGCTTCCATATCTTGGCTTTTGTAAACAGTGTTGCATTGAACATAAGGGTACGTATATCTTTTCTAATTAGTGTTTTGTTTTCTATAGATAATTACTTAGGAATGGAATTGCTGGATCATATGGTAGTTCCATTTTTAATTTTTTGAGGAAGTGCCATACTCTTTTCCATAGTGGCTGCCCTAATTTACCAACAGTGCAGTGTTCCCTTTTCTTGACATTGTCGCCAACACTTATTGTATTTGTTGTCTTTTTGATAATAGCCATTCTGACAGGTGAGAGGTGGTTTTGATTTGCATTTCCTTCATGATTAGTGGTATTGAGCATCTTTTCATGTGCCTATTGGCCATCTGAATATCTTCTTTGGAAAAATGTCTGTTCAGATCCTCTGCCCGTGTTTTACTCGGGTTGTTCATTTTTTTTTAAACTTTATTTATTTTTTAAGTTATTTTTGGCTGCTTTGGGTCTTCACTGCTGCGCACGGACTTTCTCTAGTTGCTGCACGTGTACTTCTCATTGCAGTGGCTTCTTTTTGTTGCGGAGCACAGGCTCTAGGCACACGGGCTTCAGTGGTTGTGGCACGAGAGCTCAGTAGTTGTGGCTCGCAGGCTCTAGAGCTCAGGCTCGATAGTTGTGGTGCACGGGCTTAGTTGCTCTGCAGCATGTGGGACCAGGGCTCGAACCCATGTCCCCTGAATTGGCAGGCGGATTCTTAACCACTGCAC